TCTTGTTTATTAAGAAGAGGAAAAACCTATTTTTACCCCATAAAACCCCCCATAAACCCCCGTTCCCATAGTCCGATCATGCTGGTTCGCGAACTCATTCAAGTTTATCCCGCCTTACACCTTCAAACCAAATTTGATCAAAATCGGACAAAAATTACTCAAGTTATCGTGCGGATGGACACACACACACATATATATATATATATATATATATATAAATTTGAACGAATGGTGTTTTTGGCCTCTGGGGACATCAAAATGAAAAATTAAATCGGTCCCGGGCTTAGGTCTTGCCATGAGACCTACGGTAATAGCTACTTCCCTATAGGGAAATTCGCTAACAACATAACAGACGCCACAAACACCGCAGCTTATAGACAAAACATTGGCCATAAATCATGTTTCTTTTTAACATGTCCAAGACATAGGAAATGGTGAAAGACGTAGTAAATGCTAGCAGTTCGGAGTGTGGGAAATGTTTGTGGCAATTAGATTGATGTATTTAAAATACTAAAATGCTGTGGAAAGAGATGAAAACAGGTCCACGACGTAGGAAGTAGTAAAGTTTAGCATCACAGAGTGTGGGAACCGTTTGTGGCAGTTAGATTAATGTACCTGTAATACTTAAATGCTATGAGAAGGGAAGGAAACAGATCCATGACGTAGGAAATGGTGAAGGAAGTAGTAAAGCTGGCATTGCAGAGTGGGGGAATGATTTTCCCCGAGCAAAGCTCGGTCCCCAGGTACTATGTTCATAAACTGTGTAGTCTCTTGTTTACAATATGGCTGTGGTTTATCATTCAACTGAAGGGACAGCTGTTAAATAACATAATTATAAACCGTTATAAAAAAGTCGGTCAGCATAACTGGATCTTTGAAAATGAACTCTAGGAATAAATTAAACGTGGGCGAGGCCCCAAGGAAAATTGCCTTTTTTATTACCATTCGCAAGTGTGCTAGCTCATAAGCCTTAAAATGACACCACAACCGTAAAACTCGATTAAGTAGGAAAGCTGGTAAAGGAATGTTACATGGAAAACCCTTATTGAATTTAAGTGTAAAGATTGTTGGATCAAACTGATAAGGAATGTCAATACGAATCATATAAATTACTATAAGTCACAAGAATTGTTTAAGGTCAAATTTTATATACGTAGTTTGATTGTTGTTTCATTTTTCCAGTAATAATTATTGGAACTACTGAGGCTTTCAGATTTATCTAGAAATTCAATTAATATCTATCCATTTAGTCTATTAACTATCCAATCCAAAGTATTTGTTATGTTTTATTTTCATTTAATAAGTTGACTCACACCTATGACCGATGAAAGTAAATAGATTACAAGAATAACCGTGTATATAATTTGTAGGTAAATAATACAAAATAATCACACAATAATATTTATTGTTTAACAAAAGCTTTTTATATGTAAATTTTTAAAGTGAAAGGAAATTCTAGAGATAAAGAGTGAAGAATTGAATATGATGACGCAGTCCCTTGATTGAATATGCATGTGTTTGCGTCTCTGAAAAAACTTAGCCTCAACTTGTGGATGAAGTTTTAAGTGCTGAGTTATAAAATGCTCTGATCACAGTACAGTTTATACACTTTTGTCAACAATTCATCACGAACACACTATGGATCACGATGATAAGAAATGCGGTGTTATTTATTGTAAAGCTACTTTTCTGTTTTCACCCGAGAAGACTCTATACAAGAGTATAGAGAGTCTTGTCTGAGGCACTGCAACAGGAGTTTTTAGATTATTTTACAGAATGAAGTTTTAGGAATATTTATCAAACATTGCACTGCCATTTACAAAGTTAGAGTATACGAGGACTAAAGTTAATTTTAAAAGGTTATCAATAAAAATAATGAGGTGTTAATATTTACATTTTGAAACGCTTGCCCAAAAATGCGATCCAAAGGCCAAAATTCGACATATGTATAAACCTATTCATTCCCATCCCTAATCATGTAAAAAACGTTCGATTTACAATTTTCTTTCTTATAAGGGTCAAACAGAATCTAAAATAATACCCCTGCCAAAGCAAACCTGCGTACTAGATGAATTTAAATCTGCTTGGTTGGCTTTTCAGTTTCATAACTTGTCCGATTTATTTCTCAATTACAAATATTAGGTTTAACAAACCCTTTCTGTTATGGGGAAAGTATTAACGTGTGTTTTAAATGGAATATCAAAAGCTTCGTATGAAATAAATTGATAAACTAAATGATCAAAATATATTTATAAACAAGCAAAGTACGAAGTTTTATTTTATTCTCCATCAAAATAACAAGAAAATTTTAAATTTACATTTTTTTTTGTAATTTTCTCCTTATCTATTAAGCGTACAAAATTGAGATAGAGGCTATAGTACCGCTCCAGCTTAGTCAAGTGAAACGCCTTCAAATCTCTCGAAGCAATCTAACTACTGCTGTAGTTTTGCAGATCCTTGTCAAGGCGCTTTGTCAACTTAAAGTCTTTTATTTATTAGTTCTTATTTATTTTATATTTTTCATTATACTAGACTTACATTTTGTAATACATGTATCTAAAAACCAGACTTTTGTATAAATATGTTTTAGGCTTACTCTCCAATGTGTACTTTTATTACATGAAATGTATGCATATTGTATATTTTGGATGGCAGTTTGTCGTCCAGCGTACAAATCTACTTTACTGGTCAAGTGTCTGTAAAATCCCCCCACAAACATTATTCAAACATTTCCTATAATGATAACAATTTTACAATAGGCCCTACACAAGTAAGAAAACTGTGTACATTAGATGTTTTATTATAAACATAATGGTTATAACCCAATGGTCTAAAGAGGTTCAAGTTTGACATTTAGCAATGTATACCCCTAAAATTATCGTGACAAGCAAAATTAAATCTAATTAATAACCAAAGTAGGATTACTTTGAAAGTGCGATGAATAAAATGTGAAATTGTAATAAAATATATCGAATATATCCAACACTGTTTTGCATTGAAATCCCGAGGAATTTTACAACCTTTGACTAGTATTACAACAACTCTCTGTCTGAGATAAAGATTATATTAAAACCAACCTCTGATAGTAAAGGTATGGAAACAACCACAGGTTAAAAACATATTTGAAGTTGCTTAACAAGTAAAAGGTAAACAAAAACGTGGAAGTTGGTGTTTGCCTGGGAGAGGGCAAACGCAGCGTCGGCTACAAATGAACATCTTCCATGTTGAACATCTCGATGTGGACGCAGCATTTACATATTCATGGAAGCCCAAAGTTCTGTCCACACCCACGTCTCGTTTTTGCAAGTTTCCTCGCAGATATAGAAGTTTTTTGCCGGTTTTTAAATTTAGAGGGAGAGTATTTCACATATACTCTCTTGTTGTTTGTTTTCAATTTAACTGCTAATATTTGTCAGAGTTTATCCATTTATCGTGTAACCATGATAAGAGTATTATGATGTTTATTTATTTAAAAGAGTTGCCTTTTTGTTGGTAATATCATTTAATTTAGATCGTTTATAATGTGTGAAGTGATGAGAGGAAGGAATAAAAATATGTTTTTAAACCAGTCCCCAATCCCAAAATCCTACACACACTTTAGGTACTTTACTATTTATGTTCAGAATTACAGTAAATACCAAAGTGATATAAAATATCCCAAAACGTTTTTATAACCTCGATAATTTCATCCACACCAATTCCTTTCGGAAATAAGCAATACGTTTTTTATGAAACATTTTTTAAGAGGTTGGCGGCCTCTTTTAACCTTAAATTTTCCCGTCCACATAGACTACAGATCTGTGCGTGGAACGTATCCAGCAAAGCAAGGTACAGTACGAAGGTGAACTGTACTGATAAAATGTTTGCGGCAGTGACAAGAATACGAACCCACGTCATCGCTGCCCTGGGCCGAAGTCCGTGACGCTACCAACCGAGCCATCGACTCACCTAAAATTAATTATTGACCTATTATAGCCTACTTATTATTAATTATTTTTGTAGAGGCAAATTATTTTAGTTCATTCACACAATTATTTTAAACTATTAAGGGTTCACCTGTCTAATAACAAAAGGCCGCCACCCATGAAGTGCTTAAAATGAGTGGGATTCTTCAGAAAAGACTGTTTTATAAACATACTTGTAACATTCTCAATGATCAATAAAAGCAATAGAATAATGCAAAACTAACGATTTTAAATTTCGAGAAGGCTAAACCAAGCTATGCAAATCGTATTGGTTTTTTGCAGAGAAACTTGTTAAGAAAAGGCTACGTTTACACAAAATTTCAAACATGTAAGAATTTTGAGTTTTCTCCCTTATAACGAGGGAAATTCAGTTTTTCCTACATCATGTGTTGTTTATTAGGATACATGCAATTCTAATTTTTCGGTCTGATTACCATGGACAATGTGTTGTAGGAGATATCGCTGGAAGTGTTTCTCCAAGTGTACTGGACGGACCGACGTATCAGGATCGCTGACAACATGTCTGATTACCATGGACAATGTGTTGTAGGAGATATCGCTGGAAGTGTTTCTCCAAGTGTACTGGACGGACCGACGTATCAGGATCGCTGACAACATGTCTGATTACCATGGACAATGTGTTGTAGGAGATATCGCTGGAAGTGTTTCTCCAAGTGTACTGGACGGACCGACGTATCAGGATCGCTGACAACATGTCTGATTACCATGGACGATGTTTTCTAGGAGATATCGCTGGAGGTGTTTCTCCAGGTGTACTGGACGGACCGACGTATCAGGATCGCTGACAACATGTCTGATTACCATGGACAATGTGTTGTAGGAGATATCGCTGGAAGTGTTTCTCCAAGTGTACTGGACGGACCGATGTATCAGGATCGCTGACAACATGTCTGATTACCATGGACGATGTTTTCTAGGAGATATCGCTGGAGGTGTTTCTCCAGGTGTACTGGACGGACCGACGTATCAGGATCGCTGACAACATGTCTGATTACCATGGACAATGTGTTGTAGGAGATATCGCTGGAGGTGTTTCTCCAGGTGTACTGGACGGACCGACGTATCAGGATCGCTGACAACATGTCTGGAGAGGATCACCTGGAGCTGACGTGGGGGAAGGAGAACAGCTTCTGGGTGCCAGACCTGTACATCCGCCAGCTGAGAGAGATGAAGGTTCTCTCGCTGTTCCAGGACATGACCTCTGTGCGGCTGTTCCGCAACCAAACCATGCGTGTCAGCATAGGGTGAGTACCATGACCATAGGTCACGTACAGAAAAACTAAATAATAGGACAGCATCATGAGAATAGTTATCAGTAACGAAGCATTTAAATTATATTTGTCAGCTTAGCAAAGCCAATGGTCAGCACTCGTGATACCATTGTGGTGTTGCTATGAAGGGGGTTAGGTGATTGTCTTGCAGATTTATCAGAATTTCAAATCTAATAATATTGCCAACCTTTTAATAAATTGTTATTGCTTCTCATTCAATATAAAAACAAAAAAAAATACGGGGTACTTTATACCTATTATATAGGGTATTACGGGGTACCGACCTTTAATACCCTGAATACATTGCCTACATTAAATATATATATTAACTTTATAGAATAAAATTAATTAATCTGTACATTTTCCAGAGCGACTGTGATAATCAAATGTGATATGGACTTCGTGTTGTACCCTCTGGATGTTCAGGAGTGTGCAGTGGACTTCAGCAGTTGTAAGTTAATAACTTTGTTATACAATTGATACAAATAGTTTTATTGGATGGTAATCAACACAAGCTAGGGCCAGAGACTCCGTTTCTGAAGCACACAAGGGCCAATGAGTTTTAATAAAAGTACCTTTTTAAATTATAAATCTGCAAAACATCAATAGTAATTTTTAAACTATTGACAATTAAAAACTGTTTAGAAAAACCATGTTCACAAATAAAACTATTTATACACTGTGGTTATTTTTTAGAGAAGTAGATTAAGGGGATATGACAGTGAAATAATGATTTTTTTTCAAAAAAGTGATTTTTTAAAATTATAATTTAAAATGCTAAAAATAAGAAAAATTGGTAAACAATAAAAAAATTTTAGTGCTTAGGTTATGTTTAAAAAATACCGAAAATAGTTTTGAAAAATCCGGTTATTGACTTATTTCAGTAATAATAACAAAAATAATAATTATTAATAATAATAATTATTAATAATAGCAATAATAATAATTATTAATAACATTAATAATATAATAATAAAGTAATAATTACATAATAATATAATAAATAATAATTAAATGTTTGCATAAGCTGCATACATTTATCCATAACTCAACAATAAGTAACACCATGGTTACACTGCCAAGTGTAACTTTAAGCGTGCGATTCCCACTAATCAGTTTTTTTAACATTTTTAACTACTAAATTTTATATACCTTTAAAACCGTTTATAAGCTACATGATTCAAATTTTTACCAAGTGTTTGGAATGTTATTATCTAAATAATTATGTAGAATTGTAAATGTATGCCTATTCTAAAGTGTAAAGTGTATTTTTATTTCCACAGAAAACCAATTTATTTTTTTAACTACAAAACGACCCATAAAAAAGTAATGAATCAAGATAAAGTTAATGTTCTACCTAAATATTTAGAGGGCATTATTCCCTGCAAACTGGTGGTTTATTTATTAAAATCCAATAATTAGAACTGAAGTTATATCAAATTTAGTTAATTACATAAACAAAAATATTAAAGGTGTACTTAACAAAAAAATTTACTTTTAACTATTTTTATACCTATAAACACATGGTATAAGTTTGAAAGGCCTAGTGATAATGTTAAGAAAGTTAGCTTTTTCACTGCCATATCCCCTTAATGTAGATTGATAATCAAGCTTTGATTGATGATCCTGTAATATAGATAAGCAAACAATTATTGATAATTACAAAATATAAACATAAAATAATATGTACTTCTGATTAATTAATAATCAAATTAATTTAACCTAAACGATGCAGGTTATATTCACCACCCAGTTAAAAGTAGCTATCAACATAATTTGTTTCATTCTACTGTATAATCCGACAGACAAATACACAGCTGATGACATGAAGTTTGTCTGGCGCAACGATCCTCCTCTCAGCTTCCCCTCAGACTTCGGTGATGGTTACCGACTGCCTAAATACGTCGTCTCCTTCGTAACTGAGAACAAAACACACAACGTCTTCTATGGCGAAGGTAACTTGTTATTTATTAAATTGTTGAATGATAAAACACTTTATAAACTCCGCACAGTTTCTTTTCTAAATACTAAATTAAAGATTGAATCAAGTATGAGATACTAATGTTCACCACATTATCACGTTATCTTGTTCATAAATTATTCACTGAGTCTTATTTTACTACAATTTTTCAATTTTCATTAATATTAAACATTAAGATTTTCATAGAGAATGCATGATGTAAAGCGACATTAAAAAAAATGTGTAATAATATTAGTTTCAACACTACATACTACTCATTTCAAGCTGTAGCTAACATGGCTTTACATTTTTTACTCTTTAATAGGTAAATTTTACTTTATATGAGAATTCAACCAAAATATGTTTTTTATTTGGTTTATTTCTGTAAATTTTCATGACAAATTTTTGGCAAACGGTATTAAAGATTTAGTTAGGGCATAATTGTGATGGTAAGTGAAGAATTTTATGGATGCCCTTTATTCATTTCTTATATTGTAGTTAGAGATTAACTATAATTTCATGGCTATTATTAAATGAGCCAGACAAGGGTAAGCATTAAAGTTCAAAATAGGATCACAAGCTTAGTCGGTGGATGCCAAAATATACTTTCAATTCGACCTCTAATCAGTAATCAGTATACATAAGAGTTGCAGCTTTGCAGCAAGTGGCCAGATTGGATCTAAATTAAAAAAAAAAATAGCAATCAAATCCCTACAAGTGAAAAACTTGCACTACTTAAAAAAAACTTGTTTTTAAACTAGTGACATCATAAACATAAAAAAATGTATTTCTTTATGATTCTAGAAAAGTTACTTTCTAAAATAGTAATGCCTTGGGGGGTTTAATCTGTTGACTTCTCCATTGCGAATAAGAAAAGCAGTGTGAAATAGTTGTACAGCTTATACATTATTTATTTTTTTTTTATTTGACCATAACTTAATTTAAAACAAAAAATATAGTTATAAGAGTCCATTTCAATAGAGTATAGTATATCAATGTGATCTCACCTGCATCAAAATATTCAGTAATGTACTTATAAGTACTTACACTAAATGCAAACTTAAAATAATATCAAAGTTGAATTACTGCTGAGGACTGAATTAAACACATTTAGCCCTAAGCCATATACTCAAAGGTTATACTGTCCTGCCTGCCCTTTTATAGTAGATCAATATGACCATGAGCAAACATTGTCTTGCATATAATAGTTGAACAAAAATATCCTTAATCTAAAAAGGACCATGAACATGGACTAAACTATTGTATCCGTTGAACCGCTATACTCCTATTTTTTTATTTATGTTGTACAATATATTAATTGTATACACCGTTTATTTTTAATACTCTATTCACCACACCATTCATCACGATTCATTTGCAGTAAGTTTCAATGTACTGTAAGCTATACACACTGTTGGCATATTTTATATTCTGCTTGTTAATTATTGATTTGCACACACAATTGCTCGGCTTGTTACAGTGTATCATGCTATCAAGGACTCTTACATATTTGGTTTCTCAGTTTCTACCAAGGACACCTCAGGACCATTCTTTAGTGACTCCTCAGGTATGTACAACCACTCCTATGGACTCCAATCTCAGTTGTGTCAAAATGAGTACTTTTGAAAAATACACATTTAACTACATCTTGTTGAAATATTTTAAGAAAAAAGAGCTAAATTATGTCGGTTGAACTTTTTAATTTTTTTTTTTTTGTAAGGGAACAGCTATTCCATAGCCTAAAATATGGCATGAAGTGCTAGGACGTTTAGATATTTCAACAAATAATAGATAAAGAGCTACAAAACTTCGTATAAAGTTACTAGACATAAAATAAATTCAACACATTAATCAGTGATACGCTTCCTCTTCAGGAGGACGGCCCACTAGGAGTCTGAAGAAAATCTTAAACGTAAGCATAGAGTTCAACCTATCAACCTACACATGTCGTAGATATGCACATCAAATTAAAGGCTTTCGTGAGTAAAATACAATGCCGTAAATATTAACTCAAGCGAGCTATTATGGGTCAAACATGACAGTGTCTCTTTCAAAGATATCTTAAATTTGAGAATTTATCTAATGACAACGTCGCGTGTGGTGATTAATTGTGATTTCATAAATATATACAAAGATAAACCAATTAAAATATTTTTTTTAATCCCTTGAGAAAAATACGACATTTGCAAAGCCATCATTAGGACTTTCACAACATGATATGATAAATAAATAAATATTTTGTTATAAAATAATGAGTCTTCATAAACTAACAGTATTTTAAAAATGTTGCAAATGTTTACATTTTCCCATCAAAGAGTAGGTTATCTATTATCATTGGGGGTATACACGAAAACCCGAATACCTGTATACTCAACAGTTGTAATCTCGTTCATGCAACACAATCGTTTACGAATCTCCTTCACCTTTAAATAGGTACTCACCCTGGCGTGGTACACTTGTACAAGTTACTAAATACACCAGAAAGTGTGGTAAATGGTTGAAACTAAAGTATCAAATGAATTATAGCTTTGTTACTACTGTATCAAAAAACATATGTGGCTTCTTGGTTCTTAGCCAGGATAATTTAAAGCCCAAAGATCAAAGATCAAGGACTCGCATTACATGATGCTCTACTCATATAAATTGTCATCCCAAAAGCCCGAATGTACATCTAAAGGATGGTATTGGTAGTTAGTATAATTGGTGTGTTACAGGCAATCACTCGACCGCCCGTATGAAGATGACAATGAGCCGAGAGATACGCAGCCACCTGCTAGAGACGTATCTGCCGAGCACTCTGTTTGTCATCATGTCGTGGGGTGGGTTTGTCGTCATCCCCGAGGTGGTGCCAGGCCGCATGGTGTTGTTGGTCACCACTCTTCTGTCATTGGTCACAATGTTCGACACTGTCAGGTTAGTCAACAGCTGAGTACCGGTGCTCGCTTCCATCATAAAATCCGTTGAAAATTGACAATACGGCTGTTTATGCATCTACTGGTTAGGAGTATGTTTTATCTGTAATGGTTAAAGCTAGAGGATAATATTTGCATCAGCTGCGTTAACTCTAAATGACAGAATTAAATAGAAAAGACAAATGCAAATATGGCTCTAACAAAATTTTAACTAAGTTTGTAGATTTACTACTTATAAGAATATCAGAGGTCGTTAGGTATAAGAGATGACGACTTAAGTTGTTACTGTATATTGTTTTAACTGTATAGAGAGAAGATTCTTGATTTACATCCATTAATCTGTTCTATCCGCTCAATTGTCGGTCCTGAGTTTGCATACCTAAAACGGATGATTGGATCCGTTTGTCTCTGTGGATTGAGAGGGGAGTTCTAAAAAACCTTTGGGTGTTAATAGGCTACTTTCTTACAGCTGTCTTATAGTAGTAGTATTAGTAAGAAGGTTACAAAGGTACTGATTTTTAGTAGGCCTAATTTGCTATTTTAAAAACAATAGGTTGACTAATTATGTATAATTTTATAATTTATTCGACTAGGTAATGCCACAGAAAATTTATCCGTATGATCTTTTCTATTCCTACACAAAACTGCAATAAAGTATAAAATAAACAATTTACTAAACATAACAAAAGAGTGGTGCATTAACTTCATCTGCATACGTGGTTCTGAGTCATGCAAACTAGCCTGTCGTACCTGGTGATTAGAAGGAATTGTGAGTAAACGGAACTCCCTCTTGACATGGCATATCAAACTTCTACTTATTCAAAACAAAGGCATTGTTGGCTGTGTTACACAATTAATTGTAGGCCTTATCAAGGATTTAAGATATTTTACATGTACATAGATTTTTATGAAACATATCAAAATAATCAACACCTTATATCATTTTTCAAAAGCTGGTCTTGTTTTTTAGTGTTTTCTACAAATGATTCCCACTCATAGCCGCATTAGGTTGTCCATAATAACGATTATCTTATATACTGAAAAAACTTTTGCAAAACTTATGACAGCTAGCCTGGCCATACTACTGGACCGAATTACACGCGGTTGGTACCGAATTAAATATATTTTACTGTAGATGTGCAGCATCTCTTTATAAAATAAAATAGTGTAAAAAATAAACACGAAAAATGAATTTTAAATTTTACAAAAACTAACATGGGTCTTATGGGTTGCCATGCTGGTGACAAAATAACAACAACATATAAACAGAAAATCAAAACAAATAGAAGAAATTCCTATCACATGTTTTTACAGTGTGAGGTAAAAATAGAGAAGTCTGAACATTATTTTATATTTTTTGTTCAAATTCTCGACCATGGAGCAACCTATAGTTACCATTATAAAAATTAACTTTTCTTATGGAGATTTAACATAGGGCCAGAATTAAAAGCTTATGACAGCTAGCCTGGCCATACTACTGGACCGAATTACACGCGGGTTGGACCAAAATAAAGGTTATAGGTCATATATGTGCAGGTTTTATTTTTATTTTTTTAATATTTATATTAATTGGTTCAAAAATGGTAGTTCAACTTTTCTAATGTAGATTTAAAATGGGGCCAATGTTTAAGCTGACGACAGCCACCCTGACCATACTACTAGACCGACTTGCACGCGGTTGGTACCAAATGAAAGGTTATCGATCCTATATGTGCAAGTTCGACTTTTCTTATGGAGATTTAACATGAGGCTAATTCTATCATTCTATAATAGACAAGCATGTTTATTGAAAACCTTTTTTCTCAGCTCCTGTGCATTGCAGTGAAAATCTAAGCATATTGTAAGAAAGATATTTGCCTGTAGATGTGTAAATTTAATTTTTAAAATAGGCCCACATTTTTTCAGCTCCTGAGCGTTCATAGAGAGATATCGAACTTAAACCTCTAAACAAAGTTTCCTAAGACCCCCCCTGAAAATCCCAAAATCCCATTATTAAATCGATAAAAGAAACGTAATGTAAAATATAAACCGTACAATTGATTTTGCCAATATTAATTTTTATTATCTTTTTCTCAAGAAAGCTATATAGTCAATTTTCAAAAGAAATTGGCTTTCATTTTAATTCTTAGCTAAATGTCTTATGTTTCAGGAACAATTCCCCCAGCGCACTTGAACTGAAGTGCATCGAAGTCTGGCTCATCTCCTGCACTCTCTTTGTGTTTTTTGCACTTATTGAGTATTTCATCGTCCTGTTTGGCATCCGCTATGACAAACACTGGCGACACAAGAAGAGGGATCTGGAGCTACAGCTACAATCGTCCAATCATGCGATGCCTCCGCCTGATAAGGCCTCTAGGTTAAGGCTCTTCGGCGGCAGTAAGGTACATCCCCATCATGCACGCTTAGAAATCCTCAGCGGCCGTAGAGGAAATCCAGGAAACTCTCGAAACTCCAACGGAGACGAGGCAAGGGTAAACAGCTTTTGTCCTTCCTCGTTTCGTACTCCTTCTCTTTCTATCCTCTTTTCTGTGTGGCATAGCTTTCCTTACACTTTTGGTGATAGTGCCAGTCTTTAACGATTCAACAGTATTTGTCAGTTGGATAAATAATTATTTTTTGGTTGAGTAGGTATTTGGGGTTGAGGTTCTAACAAAGTTGATATACATGCATGCCTATTATAGCCCAAAATGTGTCCCCTGCATAAACATCATGAAATACAATTATCCATGAAATGCATAAATATGTTGCCGAACCCACAACATATTTATATACAGGCAATACAATACATAAAATAAAAGTCAAATAATTCCCTGTTTAATTGATACATTAAGTTGTTACCTACTAGGAAATTTTTTAGAGAGCTATAGCTTATGGGTAGAAGAAGCATTTGTTTCTTTGACCATGAATCATTTTAAATTATTTCACTCAAAACACTTCCTGTATACAGGTTTTATAATGTATTGATGGCAATCATTACAGTATATCTGAGAGAATAGTTAAAAGTCCCTTTACTTTTTGAAGTATTAATGTTTGGTTTCTTCTTTGTACAAAACTGTCAATTAAATGAGCATCCATTGACCTAATGTAAATGAACCAACAAATAAAACATAAATGTTATCTTTTTCTCTTTTGATATTTGAAAAAAAAAATTACAATTATTCAGTTAACATAGATTCTATAAGACTGTCACTAACATTAAAAACAGTATTTTTGGTGATGTTTTCCCTTTTTCTGTCACTTTAAAAAAATATTTGTTATTTTTTAACAACTTCAAGAGGACTCTCTTGCTACATTTTAAGTAATTTTGGGTGAGTATAATTTAAGTTCAATAAAATTTTCTTAGATGGTAATTTGAAGTAGCAAGTAGGTGTAAATAGCTGTCATAGTTAGAACATAGAACATTTCCTAAATAAGTGGAAATAATATATTATTTGAATTCTTTAGTATAAGTAAAGTAGATTATTAGGACCTTGTAGTGTAAAATGTCCTCAATTTAAAATATACAATAATTATGCAAACTGTATTATTTATTTGAATATTTGGATTGTTTGGCATAGTTAGTAATTCACTTTTAATAAACTTTGACTATCAGTTGAAAGACAGGTTTAAATTGAACTTGAACATTACCATTACCGTACTTAAAATTTAAATTCTGACACATATTTTATTGTTAGAATCGCGAAAATCTATATGGAAAAAAGTGTTATAAGTTTTTAAGCTGTGGGCTACAACTTAACATTGAGTCTCTATACTGTTAGAATATGTTTTGTAACAAACGTTAGAATAGGTAGTTTATGTTTTTCAAGAGCAGCAGTATCAACTGGTTAGTAGTAACTTGGTTATTTCGAATAAGCACATAACATTTTTCACCGGTTGTTTTCAAAACTGATAATGTTAAAAAATATACAAATTTATATTTTTTAACAAAATTTCATACTACTCAGTCATTATCATTATTGAATATTATATATGGAGACATTTGTAATAGACAGCTAGAGCTAGAACAATGTCAACGTTTTGTTTAACATAAGCTTACAATTATACATGTAAGTAATATTTTAAGCAAGATATTCTCAAAAGCAAAAGCTATTGATTTGGAATGAATTGCAAAAACATCTATTCATTTTATAGTTTTAGGTGTTTGGTTTACGTGTTAAAAATTAAAAAATCATCAAGTTTATAATTTTTAAATAGGACGGAATACAAATATCACTTATTATATCTCATTAGATAAAGTTTTCAAGTGGTTGCTGGATATCAGATATCAGATTATGAAACAGGCTTAATTTACTATGTCTTTTAAACATATTCTGTATACACTTAACCATATTACAAAATAATTTAATCAATGCAGAATGATAATTTGTACCCAAACTGTCCATTTAAATTTATTGGTACTGATGTTTGTTAGATTTTTAGACAAACATATAAAAGCCAATTAACGACAATAACTATACATATTAAAAAAATCCATTGCAGGTAGAAGTGTCAAATTGGCATATAAAATTAATCTAGGATATAAATATGAATAGGTTTTGGACATCTAATCATCAGGTGAGATGGGCATCATCCTGGTAAAGTTTTTATGCACAAATAAATGTTGTGAAAATAAATTTAAGGTTTCATTGCAGGGATTCAACAAAAATCTGTTCAGGTAATATTTCATATTGAGAATTCTAATATCTTTTCAACTCAAGTTTTTCATGTTTTAATCATTACTGTCATCCTTTTCACCGTCTTGCTTTTAACTTTTTTTCTTATTTTTATCACTTATTTATCGTCACAAATTATTGCAGAATTTATTTAATACATGCAATGGTTTTTTTATTTTTCATTCCAAGCATCTGTTTCGAGAAAACAACTTCATGAGGTAAGTTAAAGAACAATAACCTAGATAACAGTGCACAGTAAGTTGAAATGTATGTTAGTACACTCTTAGACTGTTGAAGTGGGATGGATTCTGTTGGGTTGTACAGTTAAAATAATTAAGGTTCTTAAAAACTTAAAGTAAATAAATAAAAAAAAAGGATCTACTTTTGTGACGGGTATATCACTTAATTGCACTGTAATCTGTATGCAAAAACAGTTTTTTTTAGTTTTGTATGTATAGAACTTTACATAAACAATTAATTTTTATTTTTAGAAACATTTACTTTTCAAAGATTGTACAGGTATTTTGTAGTTTTTAAAAGTAAGCAGGTGTAAAACAATTGTGTTTACATTGGTCAGTATGAAAATAGTTACTCCTTAAATACAAGGCCGCGCCGAGACTTTTAGTGGGTATGCTTGAGGTCGGATGGATGTGTAAGGCCCGCACTCCACTCATGGACCGAGGACAAGTGTAACTGCATTTTACACCTCTCAATAAAACAATTAAAAAGAGAGACGAAAGTGGCACTGCTGCATACCCGGTCTACTGAAACAGCTGTTGCACTAATTTATAATGGAGCGTATGCGCAATGTTTACGTTTACAAGTATATTATTCCTGCTGTTACTATGGCAATAGGCATGCCGATGCGGTGCAACGTTGCCATACACCAAAGAGGAGGCTTAGGCTATGAAAAGGTTCTTCCCTATATTGTCCTAAAAAGAAAATATATGCCGGTAATAGTATATTTATTTGCCAAGAAAGAGTAAGTACAATTTATGAAAGTGTTATTTGTAAGTAATATCTTTGTACATACAGTAAAAAGACCCTGCCAACAGAGTTATTTGTTACTGTTATTTATAGATAAACAATAGAAATACCAGTAAACCTGCAGACTAAGCTAATTTCAACTTGTCTGATTACATATTTACTAAAATATTTCCATAAATAAGACATATTTATTCCCAATTTAAATAACACTAGTTGTTTCTAGTTAATAATCTTCACTTATTTCAATATATTAAACAAATTTAAATTACATTTTAACTCTTAACTTATCACTACTAAAAAAATAAAAAACTTTTAAGAGCTAAACTTTTAATTACAATAAATCAAAATGTTAAGCTCGATACTGTTTTAGTAAAGGTTCTAACAGAGTAGGCTTACAGAATACTGTCTGACAGACCAGTTATAATTGTCATCTTACTTTTAAAATGTTAAATGAGAAACTCTTCCCATACTATGTTTCTTGTTACACTTTAACGTCTTTAGCCAGATGACTTTGGTTTCGTTGTTCTTTAACCATTATTTTTAGATCATCAAAAGTGCGGCATCTTGACATTGCTACGTACAATGCCCCATGCTGAAAGCAGGGCTCTGGCATATAAAGACCAACTTTTTCAATTGTCTGTCCTTGACTTTTTGTAATGGTCATGGCAAAAGCGACTCGACATGGGAACTGTCGACGTTTGAGTTTTAGGGGAAAAAATCCTGATGGTTCTAAACTTAATTGGGACAGCAACACTTGTTTTCCAGCCAAACTTTCAGTAATAATTTCAAGATTTAGGACTTTTTGTTATTCATCTCTTTACCATTAATCTGGCTCCATTAACCAGTCCTTTTTGTGGTTTTAAATTCCTTAGTAAAATTACAATTACACCTTTTTAAAGGTATAATTTGTGAGGAGGTAAACCTCTTGGTGCTAAAGTGTGAAGAAATTCACCAGCTACATGTAACTGGTCCCTCTCTTCTTGAATCAATGTGTCCACTGAGTAGTAAACTCGACTGTCATTATTTAGTTGCTCAACTATTTTATTATTTATTTTGTCACAATGTTCATTCTTTGGTGAAAGTATTGCATGATTTGTTTTTCTTTTTTAAAGCATCTTCAGAGAATCCTTCACTGGAGATTTTGTCAATGATATTTTCATTCACAATACATTGTGGTATCAATGAATCACCAAGATCATTATGATAGCTCCCATGGCCATTCCCTATTCGTAAAAGATATTCAGCAAATATTGATTTTCTTGGATTTAAACATTGGCCATAAAGGTGATCTATCAATTTCATCAGTCATCATTGTATTTAAACTGATAAATAAACAGAAAAAGTAAATATTAAAATGACATAAGGGAAAGAGGTCATTTTTATGAAGACAGATGTTTTTAAAAGGAAATGAATCATATGTTTGATAAACCTAACTCAATTTTCACTTATATTTAAAAATACATGGAAATTTTAAAGTCCAGTGGGGCGAAGCACATTGAACTGAGCGTTCCAAAAATTATTCCATGACTTCTGCAGATAATTCCCTTTAATTTGACACATTAATCATCAAAATCGGTTAATAAATAAAAGAGTTTTACTGTGCACAAGAAATTCCTTACGGAATTAGAATAATAGATTTGATTTAACGAGTGCTTAGGTTTGCTTCTATAGGGAAGGTAAACAGTGTTTTTTTGAACAATAAACGTCAATAGTATAGGATTAAATAAATAAATTTGCCAAATTTGATCAATATATATCCATAAACAAGTAAACTACAATAGTTTTTATTTTCTCGGTAACCATTAGGCATACAATGCTTCAATATACTAAATTATTTATTTTTTAAGCTCTATAAAATTATTGGGAAAGAGATTCCAAAATTTTATGTTTTTAGGGTCAAAAATGGGAAAAACCCATTTTTACCCCATAAAACCCCCGTTCCCATGGTCTGATCATGCTGGTTCGCGAACTCGATTAAATAAATGTTGGTTTACATGTTTATACCAAATTTCATCAAAATCCTATAATTTTTGTTAGAGTTATCGTGCTAACGGACACACACACACACACACACACACATATATATATATATATATATAAATTTGAACGGATGGTGTTTTTGGCCTCTGGGGACCTCAAAACGAATAAGTAAATCAGTCCCGAGTCCAGGTCTTACCATGAGACCTACTTCTTAGCTTATTCCCTACATGAGAAATTCGCTAAAATAAAAAGCTTTGGTAAAAACAATATAATAATTCTAAAATTTCTAAAACGTCTCATGGAAACCACAATTAATCTGATCCGTGATCCTTTTTAGGCAACACCAGACTTGCTTCATTTGCTATGTGCCTAGTGTTCTTATTGTTCTGTGTGGTCTTTTACAGCTGATTTGATAATTTAACCCTTATCGTGCACGCTTGTTTTTTTTACCCTGAAGCGCGTGCAGGGTTCTAGTGGACCCCCAAATAAAAATGGGTATATAAAAAAAAGTTTTTGATATTTAGCTATTTTAACTTTAGACATAATATTAATATTAATTTTCTCATATTGTTACGTAAATTTTATGTTCCTACCATATCATTTAACTATTTTGAAAATATAATAGTTTAACCCTTAAATTTTACATGATGAAATGTAATAATGTTGTTGAAGAGGGGAAAATCGTAGTTAAACATGTTTTTATTGAAAACAAATAATTATTTTTAATTATTTAATTATTTTTAAATTATATTAAAAATCAAAATTAACAATTTTTTTAAAGACCTGAAGATACCATGGATGTTATTTACACACAATATATCATAAAAATCTGGTGGTATGTAGACACACTTTGTACACATACAGAGACACATCACAGACTTAAAAATATCATTTGGTTTTTGACATCACTTGAGACATTACTTTGAGAGACCCAAAACGCAAACGCAAAGATTATGATGAAAACCATACTTTCTCCAGATACTATGTTAAATGAGGGGGGGGGGGGGGAAATTAAAAAAGGAAAATTGTCATGATGTTATTATAAAAAGTTCATTAACTGGAAAACTCTCTACCTCAATTTTAGGATAGTGCCAGATAAACCAAACTAACATTGACAATAACAACCAACCCTCATTAGACTATTGATGATGACAAACGGTTGTCTATCCCAGTGTCAAAAATAAATGGGAATCAATAAGTTTCAAACTATTATTTGTATTTATTCTAATATATTCTTCTAATATATTACAATCAGAATCTTATAAGAACTGCCTCATGAAAACTTAATCTTCCAACTGCAAAATGTGGGAATTATAAATCGAATATGGACATTCAAATTTTATTGTTTATGGCAATACTGTATGTATATAGGCTGGAAAGTCTTGAAACAAACCATAACATTACAACAGGTAATTATTGAGAGTATAAATAATTTATAGTGTTTACATTTTGAACATCCATACAAGTAACAAATCAATTGATATTTAAAAATACCATAATAAAGTACTAGTACTACACATATAAACCACTTGAAACTGAGGCATTTGCAGGAGAACAACACGGAGGCTGGCCAGTCGGAGTCTGAACAGAAGCCTAAACTGCGAGCTGTCACTGAATACCTGATCCTGTACTGTGGATCACAGCGAGGTACAATTGACCAAGTATCTCTCGCATTGTTCCCTCTCAGCTTCCTGGTGTTCACTGTTGTCTACTGGGTCACGTACCTGAACGAGGCCAAGCAACGGCACGTCACGTGACGTCAGTCTTCCAAACAACAGCACCAAACAACAGAAAAATGCGAGACAATCGTTCTAGCACTAAGCTTTTAAATGAAAACTACACAGTTTATGGTTGTAAAAAGGTACACTAGATTTGCTTATTTGTTTAAGCCCAGACAAGAATTCTTTAGGATCTACTAGCGAGATATCATACACTTTTTGATAAACAAGTATGAGCTTAGAATAGTCCGAAGACTTTTGCTGATTCAAACTGTCAAGAGAATCAATTTTAGTATTTATCGGCCTGTCTGTCTGCCACCTCAGTGCTTGACCATCTTAAACCAGGCGATTTCTATCAACAAGTGCTTGCATTGTACTTTAATATGTCTGCATAAGAATTATTATTCAAAGTAGGGTACAGACTTTTTTATTGCAGCTTAAAGTTTACACCGAAGCTCAATTGATTGTACTCAGTAACTTTACTATTTCCAGTTGCCCCCTTGACCTAATCTTTGTTGTATTTGAGTGAATGATGACAGAAAAAAGAATTAAGGATGACTGATACTGTGGTAATGGAGTGGTTGATCTAAAACCCAATATGTGATTGGTGTACTCCAACCCTAAACAATTCTGATTCAATCAATGGAATTCTCTGTGCTACCGGCCATAAGCATTCATGTGTATATTTTTCATAAACTTACGCTGTAAAAATATTAAAAAAATATGGACATTTTGTTGTTTTGCATAAATGCTGTTATTGGAACAGAAACTAGAAACAATGCAGTTAAACTGAAATTTGTGTTCTGAGAGGTCTTAAAATTAGTGTAAATTCAATGTGTTTGCATGTCTAAGTTATGTCTCAGTCTCAGTATTGTTATCAAAATCAATATATGAGGATGGTGAAGCCATTTAAAAAAAATAGTGGATGAATCTCTTGCAACTGTGTGATACTGTCAACATTTGATCCCTCCCTTAGTGTTTGACACTATAGGTGATGTGGCATTAAAGATTCCATAGTTTATAATAGGTTTTTATTTAAATTTTGCTTGAATAAAAAGTTAGTCTATTTGATAGAATCAATACATTCAATTTGATTGAGTGCACAACACTCTGTCTGTGGCTTGTTTCAATAGTGTCAATTTTTATTAAAAACTTTCTAAAGCGTAACATGGAACTAGGATGTTGGTTATAATTGTCAAAGATATTGATAGTGTATGAGTATTCATCTATTTAAAAATGGGTTAGGAGAATATTGACCTAGGAATTCAAAATATTTTCTTGACAATAATTTCTGGAATTAATAAAAACATGCATCTAAAAGTTCTAATAATAAACCTATGACCAACAAAGGGCAAAAGACAAAAATAAAAAATATAGATAAAACTAAATACAGTACACTTGTATGGGTTTCCCAAACCACCAGCTATGAGTTGATTAAATGAATTGTATACAACAAATTTAGGTTACTTCTACAAAACTCTAAAAACGAATAAAAAAATATGTAGCTTGGTTATCAAATTAATATAAACCTGTGTATTATCAAATAACATATCCATATCAAAATATAAACATAAAACAAACTTCAACTAATATATGTCAAATGGTTTATCAAATCAAATAGCCAAATCAAAATATAAATTGGAAACGGACTTAACAAAAAAATAATTAATAAGTAAAATTGTTTTAAGACAATTCTTTGATTTTATTATAACTAAGTCTACGCTTCATTGTCATCAAATAATAAAGCGTAATCATAGATAACTCTCTAAGTTAGAACATTATGTTTACCTCTGATAATTATTTATGTGTCCCAATATCAACTGAAGATACACGTAGAATCAGATTAAGTTAAAATCATCAATATATTCAAATAATTTGAACAAAATTACAAATCACTTATATGTTTTATATAAATCAAAAGTATAAAGAATATTTGTAAATAAAGTGTATATATAAATTATAGTTAAATACTTAACATATCACTTCCACTGCTTACCATTAAAATGTTAAGTGCCTTTTGGTGTTTTAGATTTTTATATATTTAACTTATAGCTACTGTATGACGGAAACATTATATAATGTTCACATTTAAAGTGCCAAACCTGCTCAAGTACAAAAAGGTTCGAATTTTTTTTGACATTTTGATTTATTATGGGCATAATAATATTAGGGCCTACATTGTAAACTTTGCAAAACTTTACTTGTGATATAGCAAGTAATAAGATCAACAATATTATTTTGCAGTTAAGTTAAGAAGCAATGTTGTTGATACTGGTAGTTATTTATTATTGTTACTAATGTTTAAAATTTTAAATGTATCAAATTTATATTATTGTATAATTTCAACACATTAAGATTAAGTCATGTATTTACTTGATTAATATGTATTATAGGGCTAGTTGTTACTTGTGCCACAAAAGATTCTTTAAAGTCCGTTCACAACATTTAAGCAGTTTGAGGAGAAGGTATCCTGGGTTTCCACCACCTTTTTTTAAGCTTAATGTATATATCAGCTGTCGGCTGTTGTTTCAAAGTAAGGGTGAGGAGGAGGGGATGAAATCGCTCCCCCTTAAAATACTTACATTTTGTGAATGGAGTGTAGTTAAATGATAAACTGGTTTGAAATAAAGTAGGGGTGTGCAAACATCCATTCATCGGGATGCTTGTTCAAATATTGCAGTTATTAATTCACTTTGGGAAAAATCCATATTCAAGCGGTGCATTTAAATTGGTTCCTGAAGAAAAAAAATTTTACATATAGTTTGAAATTATTCAAAGCTACACATAGTTTGAGACTGAATTCTGCTTGAATATTTTGTTATTTTTACAACATTACCATTGCACCAAACACCAAATCTTTGAAAAATAATAGTCTAAATTACAGAAGCGATATATTTATAATAAATTAAGTCACAGTACATTAAACATGAACTGCATGATGGATTAAATGTTTCTTATTTACCATTTATGGTATTATACGGTATCAACTAAAAAATTTTGAGCACAACATTGGAAAAAAGATTGAAAGTGTTCAAAACTGTTAAACTTTGAATAGGTAAAAGCTATAAATCTTAAAAGCTTAGAAGACAAGTCCAGCTAGACTCTTTGAGTGAGAAAAAAAGAATACCATTTGCACACCCTATACATAAAATAATGTCCACTTTTACTTTCAGATGCCATTAGAAACAGTTTCAATGTGCCTATTGTATTTAGATTCTGAAACTACAGAACTGCCATACAAAATTTGTATAATTTGTCAAAAAACTACAGCGTAGTTTGATTTTTTACTTAACTATCTAATAAAAGGATAAAAATAAGCCAGGCTCCATCACTTAATTACAGTAAATTATTGAACTTGTTTATAGAGGTGGGTTGTTCGGTCAGGACCCGTTCGGTTCGACCAGGTCATCCAAGTGAACGAGTGACCCGGATCACACCATCCGAATAGGTTTGCGTACTCCGTTTCGTTCACTTTTTCTTTCGTTCCAAGACCGACCAAAAAGACTGAGGTTAGAGGTGATTGGTTACTTACTGACTGGTTCCCAGTGGCGGATTTAGAATAGTCACAAGGGAGGGGGGCAAAACAGGGGATCTGGGTGGTTTGGGAAAAATGTGTGTAAACCAAGTCTCCAAAATTACAGTTTTATACCATTTCTTTGTCCAAAGTTTGTGTGACAAATTATTCTACGCAATGCAGTAAAAAACATATGTATATGTATGCCCGAGGGGGGGCGGTCGCCCTCTTCGCCCCCCCCCCTCTGGATCCGCCACTGTTGGTTCCAGTGGTATGGTCTGGTGACTGGGAACTGGAAGTTGACTGGAGTGAAGAACTGACTGACCGATAGTTGAGTATTCATGTCGTAATTAAATTTAAACCTCAGTAGTCGGTCCACAACAAAACGGAAGCGAATGAAACTGGGCATACACAATAAAGTCATATAGTCTCCGCATTTCATTTTTACTAGGCCTATCTATACTATCATAAAAAGGTGGTGGTTATATGGAAACAAATTAAGTCAATTACAACAGCCCACTTATATATTGATAATATTCCATACGTCATCGATAATCGATTTAACCAGTATGGTCATGTCAAGGTTTGTAAAAGTAAGGTTATGTACAAATTAAATTATATAATTAAAAGTAAAAGATAGAGTTGTATATTTATTTCAGTGCTGAAAAAGGGAATTAAGTATAAAGTAACACTACACATTGTATTATTTCGGATAATGTATTTAGCTATCAATTTCATAACTGTTTATAGCTCAATATCGGAATCAGTTTGAACGATCCAAAGATCCATGATCCCACATTCGAACTAACCTCAACGTCGTGGTAGGTTTACTTTCAAATAACGAACAAAATGAAACAACTGCCTTTGGTTTACCGGACCGGGTCAATCGAACGGGTCACATTGAACGGGTCTTAACAGTGAACAAGACCGATTGATCCAGATCAGTGAGGTGATCCGAACTTCCCATTTCTAGTTGTTTTGTATTGGTTTATAATTGAATAATGTAGTTGAAAGGCTGACATATGTTAATTTACAATAATTAAAAAGGAAAACTCTTAACCCTACAGTGCTGGAGTCAACTTTCTGTGACAAACTGTCAGAAACATTTTTTATTCAAAGAAGCAAGGACTGGAACACTTGTGGATCATAATGAGGGGTTTTCCTGTTGGCAAACCTAGTTAATTAGTAAATAATATGTTTATTTATAAATACCAATTTTATAGCATAGCCATTAATCAATATGTTTTGGTAAATGTTTCTAGGCTTGTTGAATTTTAAGGTTGTTATTAAGGATACTAGTCTAAGTGAGTACTGTATGTAGGCTACTATACTTTTTAGAGGTCTATAATATTTGTTGTTTTACGATGTTACTTGACATGTTTTTGTGTGAATACATTGTTCTTAAAATGTCTTGTTAAATTGTCAAACCAAAACCACAACTATTTTTACTAATAAGGCTAGGCGCACACGAGCGATTATTTTGAGGCGACTATTTCATCAGCCAATCTGTGCATCATGTATTTGAATGGAAGCGCGCACACAGGCGATCGAGAATTGCGCCGATTTTAAAATCTAGGTTTTCGTAGGCGAGGCGAGGCGATTGTCGCCCGAAAATCTGTAACGTAC